TCTCCTGTTAGCGTCAGTGTACGGCACATGCACACACCCTTGTCCGTGGGGACTGGCTACTACTCGGCTTCTTAATAGAGGCGCTCATGGTCAGATCACAGCGTGCATGATGGCCTAGGACAGACAGGATGCAAAACTTGGATGGAGGCGGGCCAAATAAAGAGCTGAGCAGCACCGCTGACCAAGCAAATTACTTGGTCAGCGGTGCTGCAAATTACTTCCTCTCTTCTCTCAGTGTCTCATTACATTTTTCCCAAAAAAACTTTAATTTTTCAATATTCAGTTTTTTTTCAATGAACATTTCGTGGATAAAAAAAAACTGAAAAAATAAGCCCATTTCATTTCACAATGGTCTGAAACCTGGATAGTCCTACTTTAGAAAACTGGGTTCAGTTTTCTATTTGTCCCAAATAGAAACTTGAACTGCTAAGTGTTACATGGACTACACTGATCCTGATCTGACCCAGAAACACACACACACACAAACTTTACCGTGTGTGTGGTGAAGATACAGACAGAATCAGTATGGCTGCACTGTGCACAACAAACTAAACCAGCAACTAATTTGAGAATCGTGATGACGTCTCACTGCTGTCAAACATTTTACAAACCAGTCAACTGATTGACAAAATCAATCAATGGGTGCAATGGATACAAATCAGTTCAGCAGAGCTCCACCTCAACCAGCTGCAACTGGCAAATCCTGCTATTACATTGATGCAGGAGCGACAAGCTGTCAAAGTAATGATATATGAAAGAACAGCAGAGGAAGTACAGCGTGTTTCTGCAGTAGCTTACTGTACCTTTAATACTTTGACTAGTAATGAAACTGCCTCTGTTATGGATCGACATGCCCCTTTGTCGGAAATCAGTCTGCGATTAGACGCTTGACATGAAGGCTCAAGGAAAGGACGTCTCGTCAGTTATAACGTGTTTTCTTGGTTCCTCTCTTCTCTCAGTGTCTCATTACATTTTTCCCATTGCATCTTGCATGGGGGGACTAAGACACTAGGAAAGGATACAACTGAAGGAAATGTGGATGCAGTTAGGTGAATTGGGATTCACAGTGCGTGTGGATTCTATTTCAGTTTGTTCCTGTTGGAAGCTAATGCTAACTAGCAGCTGTCAGTAGATGTGCTGTTTTTATTATCTCTATGGATGTTTACTAGGGGTGGCACGATACCACTTTTCCATGTCCGATACCGATACCGATACCCCAATTTTGAGTATCTGCCGATACCGATCCAAAATGATATTTTTCCCCTCTGTTAAACAATTGCTTAGTAACACATGTCAAATATTCTACTCTCCTAAAGGAAGAAATACATCGCCCACAACCATGAGTTGTGCAACACTGCTGCTTAATTTTTATTTCAATTCTTCAAACAGAGAACTTTTAGCAGCACTTTTGACTAGTCAGCACAATTCAAACATTCAAGTAAAATTTTAGGTGCACCTTTGTGTAAACGTTTGTTATTCTCTAAATACTTAGGTTTGAAAGAATAATAATTCCAGCATCAAACACTGGATATAACCATAACTTAAATAACAATAACTTAACATTAAATGTAATAGAATCTCCATAATTGGACAGTAAAACACAGTAACCTAGTCTGGTATTGAACTGTAAGACCAGTACGAACATTTGAAACATCAAGTAAAATATTTGAATATTTATTCAAGTTTTTCAGTACCTGCCTGGCCATGAAAACTGTCACAAAAACCAGTGCCTCATGTTTTCACTGTCCTTGTTTAACTTAAGTGTGTAACTTCACTTTAACATGAGGGGCAAATTCTTCTTTAGAAAGATTAGCATTTCAGCCTTCTCAGCTGTCAGGCTGCTCCTCCGTTCATCAATAATAATGGAGGCAGAGCTGAAAAGTCTTTCACTCTCCACACTTGTTGAAGGTGCATTCAGCTTTGCTTTTGTCCTCTTCGCTGAGTTTAAAATAACTCCACACAGCCGACATGGTAACGCTGATCGGTCTCACTCATGCCTGTCGATCACGTTGAAGCTACTGTTCATGTGACGTCTCGCTCTACAACACGTCGCTCATAAAGCAGTCATATGATAGTTTAAAACAAAATCTCCGTAGTGTATCGGATCGGATTATACGCCCCTCTCTTTGCAATATCCGATCCACAGATTTTGGCCAATATCGGGCTAATATCGATACTTAATATCGGATCGGCTCACCCCTAATGTTTACTGACAGTGGTTTTGTTTAATGTATAAAATGTTTGTTTTATTGTTAGACAAATTATATCACACTAACTGCTGAACTATGTTCTTTTTATTTTTTGCAAAACTGATTGTTGTTTGCGGGATGGACCAATTGGTGGCATGACACATAATTAGAAAATCATTCACTCCTCTGCTTTCATATGCACCTCTTTTGTGATACATTTCAAATACATTTTTGTAAAAGGCAGCCATATTTTTTGGTCTTTGTATCCATAGATTGTACGTATGCAAATGTACACGTGACACTGCCATGTTTAAAGGCTTCAAGTAAACACTGTAAACTACTGGAGCTGAATAAACTATGAACCTGAAGCTGTTAAACTATGCACAGTAAAATACACCATGCAGGGCTGTTTGCATCTTGGCCCAACCGCACTAGCTGCACTAAATGCTGCCTCAACATTCCACTGTGTAACCGTCACAGTATCAGCCGCGGCTGCTGGACCCGGTGCCAGACGGGGGATGTTGGTTTGCTATGAATGAACAGTAAGAGTTGTGTTCATGTTACTCATCTGTGATGGCCCCTGTTCATTGTGTGTTTGTCTAGTGTGTGTTTCAGGTGCGCATTTTCCTCATGTGTCTGTTGGAGCATGTGGGCACATCTGCTTCCTTTTCAGGTCTACTGAGGTCCGGGCAGATAGCGAGCACCTGGGGCTGCCATCCTGATTTATGGCTCTCTATAATCTACGCAGTAGGTACGATGTAGATCAGTGGTCCCCAACCTTTTTATAACTGTGGACCGGTCAACGCTTGACAATTTTACCGCGGCCCGGGGGGGGGGGGGGGGGGGG